ATATATATATATATATATATATATATATATATATATATATATTATATAATATATACATATATATATATATATATGTGGTAATAATTGCTGCTCATCACCAGATTCAGGCAACCGCACTGAAAACCCCTTACCCCACATATAGGTTTGTCGAACATTGTAACACAGCCTCGAACTTCTAGCAATGCCCCAAGTCATCAGTTAGGACACACACGTAGACGTCCTTCCGGGTTCCAAATACGAATTAGGCACAAAAGCCTACTAGGCTCAAAGGTTACACTTATAGTACGATCTATTCTAAGGCAATATAACGGGTGTCAAAATAAAGGGCGCGAAGTTAGCACCGGCCCACCAGCATATGCCGGCAAATTATTTGGAGGGCCAGTAACAGTGTTAGCGAGTACCTACATTTTTATTCTCAGCAAATTTACAGCAATTTATAGCAAATAGCCTATATTACTGTTTTAGTTGAAGGATATATCACGCCATAATTTAACAACATTTTACAAATTTGAAATCGAGAATGCAAGCGTGAAACATGACATTGACAAAAACAACAGCTATTGACAGTACATAATTGACGAGTAAAAAATTGTGTGTCATGAGCTCTCACTAAAGAGAGTGAAATTGGAACACCCTGACCTACAACTAACAAGGCAAGACCTGAAAAATATATGACTATGAAAAAAGACTATGAAAAAAGACTATGAAAAATATAGATCATGACTAAACGATTTTCTACTTGTCAGCATGTTTTCACTTGTCAGCATTTCACTTGCTAAATAATATATGTAAACAGCATCTGGTGAAAACAAGCAAAATGTGCAAACTGTTCATGTTTCAGTGGGAGCCGTAAATTTAGCAAAAGTAAACATAATCAAGGATTTTAATACCTATAACCCTTGATACACTGCAGAAACTGTGAGGCCTTATGAATGTACGTAAAAACTCGATTAAAATGATTTAGGTTAAAGTTTAAACTCATAAAGTACAAACGTTTACTTATTAAAGACATGATTATAGATTAATAGATTAAAGCCTTAAAGGAGTATGCATGGTTAGAACTACTGACATCATAAACACTTTTCGATGGGTCTAAATCTTATTCATAAAACGTTGGTAGTTTCATGCACATTTACGTGAACTCAAACACCATGATTGGATATAGGCATATATGCCTGGTCACACGGAAGTAAATTGAAACAATCTTGAAAGAATAGCTCAAGCCAGGGTTAGAAGATCAATATGTAAATGTAGGTAACGATGTAATAGGTAAGATGTGAGGCGACCAACACGCTATGTAGGGTAGATACTCTGCAGTTAGTGCCTTTAGCATATGCAAAACACCATGTGAGAACATTGAGCACATGTCACTTGTCCAAGATCACGTTGTAAAGGACAAGATAAATGTTGTGATTAGTTGATTTATTGCCTGTCATTATAACCCGATCTGTACCCAGCCCCAGGTTACACCGGAGACACACATTTCAGGTGATTACTAGTGACCCATGACACTTGGTTTTTAAACCAACTTGCTTTGAGGCAAAGACAACATTTTTGTCAAGTAAACCAGTCGTGAAAGTCGCACAGAAACGTGAAGACCATTCTAAAGGTAGGAGATTTCAAGTGATAAAATACTACTATAGTAATATACTATTATTATTATTATCTATATATTAATTCTCTAAGCGTTTAATGTTGTTAGCAGCATCACGAATAACACGGTCATGGGAATGAAGTGCTTGTGGTATGGTCGAGCTCAGAATAATGTGTAGATTGCAATGGGGACACTATTACGTGTTTGGTGCAAGGGATACCCGGCCGAAGGACAGGTTTTCAACTAGATATTATTATTATTATTATTATCATGGAATTTCAGAAGGCCTGTCGTTTATGGACAGATAAGGGAAGGCCGGGAGGGGGTTGTAACAATTGAAGTTAATTACAAGTGTCATAAGCTGCCCCAATACACAGGTAAACTCAATCAGTTCAGCAACATATACATCAGACTAAACGCACAACATAACCGTGTTGAGGTTGTCGAAAGTAAATACAGCTGAAAATTAAGGCATGTCGATTATGCAGCATGTCGAAGGATTTATGGGATGTCAGAAATTAGCTTCAGCTCTAAAGGTATATTGGCCCTGACATGCAACAAAGGCCCCTTAATAATAATAATATTATTATTGTTGTTGTTATTGCTTCTGTTTGCAGGATCAACAACATTCGTTAACAACAGCAATAACCACATTACAGTCAAGTCAACAAAGTAAATGGAAATGAGAAAAGTTACTGAAACGCTGCTGACTACACTGCTCTGCCTAAGCCTACACGTAGGTATCTCAAGATAAACAAGGTTCTACTCATCATTATCATCATGATGGCATTGACCTTCGATCAGCACTTTTGAAAGTAATGACATTCTGTAAAAGTGCGCCCCAAATATAAATATCATGGCTTCTTTTATTGGTTAGACTATTTTGACTCCCAAGTCAATTTCACCCCCAGCCAAGCAGTCTTGTGTTCTTACACAATGGATATAAACCATATCTATACTGATGATTCAGCATTACTATTGCATCAAAATCAAACAACAAGAGTATCTTTTCAGTGCAGCAGAAATGTCGCTGGACAACAAAGATTTCACGCACGGCAACACACAGCAGAATTTCTGCCAAGGTACCAACACTTCAAAGGTGATGACTTGAGCAACCACGGTGCGGCTGCGGGACTAGGGACGTCTGGATTCGTACTGCCTGTACCGATTCATGGGGAAGGACTACTAGGTTATGGTCCCCAATCGTCACAGTCCATTCGATTTGGTCAGCGCTTTCCTATGAACTTCAATCAAATATCCGCACACGGAAGCGTTGGCAACGGAGTCTATAGCGGGCCTGGAAGCTATACCATCCCCTGGCCCAGTGATAATAACCGTAGAAGCGCATACCGTGGGAGATCACCAAGAGATCCACCACAACATTTAGGTAAAATAATGCAAGGCTATAAAATTATAGTACATGGGGAGAGATGACTAGTTTAGCAGAGTATTTCAAATTATTAATATGGGCATCTGTGTGATTTACCACTAAATATTTACCAAATATATACTTCTTGACAACTTTCTTTTTGAAAAACACAAGTAGCTGCATAGAGCGTACATATGTGTGTGTGCATGCGTGGTGTATGTGCGTGTACATGCGTGCATGTGCATGGTGCGCATATGCGTATGCCCGGTTTGTTATTCCCCAGTTCCTCAACACAACACCTGGTAATTTTGCTAGTTGATTAGGGCATTAATAAAACTCATCTTAACTTCAGCTAAAAGAAATTTGTAGGCATTAGATTAGGATGTATAGGTTTAGTAATAAAAATAAAATGTTTGATTGTAATCCTTTTCTAAACAGATGGAACCAGTGATGTACGATATTCAGCGCCTCTGGCCGCACGGATCCACGATACAACAGGCAGAACCCATGTTTCTGGTCGGGGCTACGGAACACAGTACAACTTAAAGAATGATAACAACCACAGCTATAGGGATGAGTACCATTCCACAAATAACGAAGGTCATCACTACGGAAACGGGTACAGCTCTAGAAATGAAGAAGACCGTCGCGACGGAAACGGGTACAACACTGGAAATGAAGAAGACCGTCGCTACGGAAACGGGTACAGCTCTAGAAATGAAGAAGACCGTCGCTACGGAAACGGGTACAACACTGGAAATGAAGAAGACCGTCGCTACGGAAATGGGTACAGCTCGAGAAATGAAGAAGACCGTCGCTACGGAAACGGGTACAGCTCTAGAAATGAAGAAGACCGTCGCTACAGAAACGGGTACAACACTGGAAATGAAGAAGACCGTCGCTACGGAAACGGGTACAACACTGGAAATGAAGAAGACCGTCGATAAGGAAACGGGTACAACACTGGAAATGAAGAGGACCGTCGCTACAGAAACGGGTACAACACTGGAAATGAAGAAGACCGTCGCTACGGAAACGGCAAACGGATACAACTCAAGAAATGAAGAAGACCGTCGCTACAGAAACGGGTACAACACTGGAAATGAAGAAGCCTGTCGCTACAGAAACGGGTACAACTAAAGAAATGAAGAAGACCGTCGCTACGGAAACGAGGTACAACTCAAGAAATGAAGAAGACCGTCACTACAGAAACGGGTACAACACTGTAAATGAAAAGACCGTCAGTATGGAAATGGGTACAACTCAAGAAATGAAGAAGACCATCATTATGGAGATGGGTACAACACTAGAGATGAAGAATACCGTCTCTATGGATATGGGTACAACTCTAGAAATGAAGAAGGCCGTCACTACATAGACAATAATGGCCGTAGTGATAACGATGGCCACTATCACCATGTAACTGCTACAAATACTGGTATTGCTGGCGTGCCACATCGAATTCTGAAAGGTCTGGGCAAATCTTCAGACAGAACAGCACATTTACCAAGAGTAGGTTCCTTCTTGCGGAAATTATTCAAGGGCAAACCTACATAATATATACTCTAATATACTAAGTAATAAGAAAAAATGTTTTTACAATAATTTATGAGGTTGCATATTTTTCACATACACACATGGTGGTAACGTCACAGATGTAAATACATCTAATAGGGGAGTGATATTTTGAGTGCTCAATGACTCAATTCAATCATGGATAGTGAAAGAGATTACGATATTTTAACTTGAGATCATTTATTATCCATAAATTCTAGCGGCATAGAGATACATAGGATAACATAGGAGGCATGACTGTGTCTGCACATCAACATAACTAAAATTACAGCGGTGTAGATTCCAATGTCTAAGACGTGTAAGCTTACCATGACGCAGGAGAAAATATTCACGTTGATTATCTTTGCATGATCCTCTCTGTCAACTTCCAGGAAATATGATGGATTTTTATAGGCCATCCCAACATTGTTTACTGTAAAGGATGTAGATGTTATACTTTAAAATGTATAGATATATACAATTCGATGATGCATAAATCCATAAAACAGTTATCCCTTGCCTGTCACTTTTATAAGTGACCATGGGGAATCATATTGATGTTTCTAATAAAGTAAACATGAAAAGTTATACTATACTATTACTATTTCTTAGATGATATTACTTTACAATTCTATATGATATGGTCACTGAGAGAAATGAATGTGCAAACAAACCAACTAGTTGTGTAACTATATAGCCACAGAGATTATTTCCTATCTCCCCTTTTAAGTTAAGACAAAACTTCCTTTTTATCATTTAGTCCTGCTACCTATACTTTTGTAAACCATGTTTTCCAATCAATGCCTTTGCAGTTGGCGAGAGATGACTGTTTATTACATCAATATGAAAATAACTGAACTAAAACTGATGGTAATACTCGAAATCTTGTGATACTCCATCATTGAAACATTTAATTTTGTATTTCATTAATTTTCTTATTTTTTTTATGATAAATGTAACAAAGGTTGGCGTGAAGCATAATTAATTAAACCCTCATTTAAAGCAAGGATTTCAAACAAACTTCCTGACCGATCTCGTATTTTTCCGACCACTACAGTACTTACTGGTATTGCATGTGTAACAGCTAGTGTCTAAATCAAGGCTAACATGTCTTAGAACACTCATACTGTTATTTTCATAAAAATATACAACTATTGAAATCTCTTTGTTTACATCGTGCTAACGCCATTACTTAATTTATGATGCCACTTGTTTCTTGTGAGACTCTGTCCCTGTACTTTGACACAGTAATTTGAATTAATCAATAGAGATGTTGCACCAGTTTAGAACCACTACATCACTCAGTGAGATAAACTTTTGTCTGGTGGTTGTGATTTCAAAGGAATTACCACTATACGAAAGAATGTGGCTGCATTATTTGCTATTTTATATACCATAACAGTCTAAACTCATAGTAATTTTTGTACTGGAGTAATCAGTACGTATATATACTACATAACTTATTCGCTATTACATTAGGTGAAACTATATTTCACTATATTTTTCTTGATTGTACAGTTATTTATGAAATAATTCTTAATAATAATAAAATAATAATGAAATAATTCATTATAGAAATTATGCTGACAGGCACACTATATTATTCCTCACTTAGTAAAGTCTATGTCACATTTCACAGTTAAAAACATGCCAATTACTATAGTTTATAAACACTGCATGTGCACTGGGCTAGAGTTTAAACTATAAGATTATTTACTACTAACCTAAAACACCTATCTCCAAACCCTGCAGTTCCTTTTCTATTCTCTCATAGATGTGGTTTCCATCTCCAAAGTCAACAGCCACAGTTTTCACTTGAACATTGCTACCTGCACCTGAAAAAATCCCATTATATATACTATATAGGCTATATATCAATATATACTATTTATAACCATATATTTTTCATATATACACACTACTCATTATATCAGGAGTCTATCAATATCAGGAGTCTATTGATAGACTCCTGATTATATAGGACACTGTACCCAAACAATAAGACAACTGTTTACAATATAGATACACATATCATGTAATGAAAGATACAATTACAAGTTTACAACAGTTAGCAAGTGTCAATGACACTATAGCTCACCTTGGGTGTGATAAAAGAGAGATAATATTTAAAATTTGGTAAGTGTTTCATTTATGACAGACCAAAATGTGATCAAATGTCCTTATTCCTTGTTTTATACTAATAGAAATTTCACTGTTTTGTTTCAGGGTTACTTTTGATGCGAAAATAAATGTTTTAGATCTGAAAGTCTGAAATCTGGGCGAGCGATCGATGGCGGCTACGCCTAAATGATCGCCATTTTGGTTTTCGATTATCGCGCAAATAAAAGCAATAAAATATTCCAATCAAATTATTGCAACGAAGATTCTAAACACAATATTACACGTAGGTATGATTAGGTAGGTAGGTAGGTAGGTA